CTTTACAAACGATGATTTTCCGTTATAACTATAAATCAAATGATGCCTTTTATTCACCTAATTCATTATAAAGTTTATTTAACAGCTTTAAAAGATTCGAAATTGAAATAGATAGTCTAGAGAACATACTGTATTAATGTACTCTACTGCATATAATTTGTGAACATTTACATGATTTGTACACTTTGAACTCCCTTTCAGGCTGAAAGGGATTGAAAAAATTCATACCGAGAGATTCTCAAAATTCCTCTCTAATATATATTCTATTCTCTTTGTATATGTCCCTTGAATACAATCTAAGAAAGGAATCCCAGTGTGATAGTTAACCATTTGTTTGTAACGAGCGTTTTAAGATGGTCAGTTTATTTAATGGTTTCGTTCTGTATAGGATGGACCTAATGAGAAGATCCAAGCTGTTATCGACTCTGGAGTTTGTCGGAGAATAGTTGAACTTCTCATGAACGGACAACAGGTATTTCAACCTTACTGTACAGTACTGTGTATGCAGTATATAATAGGACTCACTATTTAAAGATATATTTCTTAACGGTTTTTTTTCGATTTTTTTTATTATCTATATAATAAAACAAGACATTCAAATCTATGTTGCGTGTAACCGGCCAAACGGTTGGACTAAGGCTGAACTTTGTTGTGGACACTCATGGGTGGCCGGGGGGTGTAATAGACTTTAAAAATTCGATTTTTTTCATATTGTTTTCAACAGTTTTTTTACGGGGAACGCCGGGCCCTTCAGCTAGTCTATATAATAAAACAATACATTCGTATATATATACATATATATATATGTTGCCTATAGCCGGCCAAACGACTTGACCGATTGGGCTGAAATTTTTATTGACACCCAGGGGTGGCCGGGGAGTATTATAGGCTATAAAAAAAATTTTATAAAATGTTCAATTTTTTACATTTTTTTTCGCGGGAAACGCCGGGCCCTTCAGCTAGTATGTCTATATAATAAAACAAGACATTCATATATATATGTTGCCTATGGCCGGCCAAACGGGTGAACCGAATGGGCTGGATTTTTTTGTGGAATCTCATGGGTGGCGGGGGGGGGGGGGTTTATAGGCTAATCGTTGTTTTTCTCTACATTTTTTTTCCTTCAATTTTTTTTTGCCAAGGGCAATGCCGGGCCCTTCAGTTAGTATAAAATTAAATAGATGACGGTCGATACATGGTGCTCACACGTCTGCACACACCCTGTCACAGTTCTTGTTACACAAAGTTTTCACCATTTAAAAACATAATTGACATTTCCATTTAGAGTGTTGTATCTGCTGCTCTGCGCGCTGTCGGGAATATTGTTACTGGAGACGATATCCAAACCCAGGTAAACTAATTGACGAATTTATTCTCTAAATCACTCATATAGAACATTTAGTCTAAGGGAAACATGGTCCTTAAACCCTTAATATGGTATCCCTACTCAGGGAATACCTTGTCTCTAATTTAGAACTCTAATTGATTTAGGGTAAAGCTTTCCCTTCAACCCATATTATAGAACATTTAACTCATGGGAAACCTTGCCCCTAATCGTCTAATATAGAACCCTTAAAACCCGTGCTTAGGATCCGGATCCGTTGGATTCGCAACATTTTGACTTCCTAGATCCGGATTCAAGGGGCAAAATATCAATCAAGAATTGCGAAAAAATCAAGAATTTTACACCTAAAACTCAAATCTAAATTGTTAAAAAAGAGAGATTATCAAAACTTGTATTATCGCTGAATTGTTTATCAAGTTTAAGCATTGAAATAAGCGAGAAAAAAAAGAAAATTAATTTGATAACTTTTCTTTTAATACAAAAATAAGAAAATCATATAGAAATTTGCATGACCTGGATCCGGGCCCGGATTTGAAACCATTTTTTTCCATTGTGGATCCAGGATCTGGATCTGCATCCAAATTAAATGGATTCTAAACTTAGGTGATAATAAACTGTGGCGCACTACCCTGCCTGCTGACCCTTCTAAGCTCTCCAAAGGAAAGTATAAAGAAGGAAGCCTGCTGGACCATATCCAATATCACAGCCGGAAACAGGCAGCAAATACAGGTACAATTTTAACCCTTGTGTCCTGCTAAATTTTTAGCATTTCTGTGATGTGAGAAAAAAAATGCAGAGGATATGTCTAATTGAAAAAGTTGTGATCTTTCTTTTAAAAAACCTTTTTTCTCGCACTTAATTACAAATTTTTGTTTTCTTCGAGTTTTTGTAGGAGAATTGGGGTAAATAAGTAAATTGTTTGTAGTAATAATTGATTAAAAAAATTTTTTTAAAAGTATTTAACGCCCTGAATAAATCATATCTACTTCATCTCTACCAAACTGATCTATCCTTCGAAAAATACAACTCTAACCTTGATATTTAAGGCGGTGATTGACGCCAACATATTCCCAGTCCTGATAGATATTCAGTCCAAGGCCGAGTTTAAGACAAGGAAGGAGGCTGCCTGGGCCATCACTAATGCATCGTCTGGAGGGACTGCTGAGCAAATCAGGTTTGCTTTATAAAACCAATCCATTTTATTGTGACGCGAATCCGGATCCTGAATCCATCCTGACAAATAAAGAATCTGGTTTCAAAATTGTCTTCCGTTTTAGTGATTTGTTATGAATTACAATTCAATGTTTTAAACATCTCATTTTACAGTAAGAACTAGGAAACTTTGGAATAGGAAAACGACTTTTGGAGACAAGTTATGACTTTAAATAGTCCAATGGTCAAAGGACGCCGAAATTATGCAGTGTTTCAGACCCATTTAACTTAATGGCTGATTATAAAAGTTATTGGTGAGACTATTTGCTTTGCAAAAATTTCAAATACACTTAGCAATTGTCGTCTTTCTATTCCACAGTTTTCAATATACAGCGAACAGTTTATTTTGTGGAAAATCGTTAACTTTGTTTATGAGCCGATCAAACAGTACAAAATAATGTGTTTAATCAATAAATGTTTTTAGATACTTGGTCCAGCAGGGCTGTATTCCACCTCTATGTGATCTACTAACTGTAATGGACAGTAAGATTGTCCAGGTAAAATATCCAGTTCTTATATCAGAAATAATTAACCTAAACTACTCATCAACTGGATTTGGATTTTTATCTTATACTAGATTTTTATTATAATGTGATTGTAAACGTTATTTTAAGTTTCACTCTATTCGTAGAGGAGCATGTATGATGCACAATGTGTCCTTAAACCTTTATCTGATCAAGGATAACGAGATAAGAAAACATAATTAATTAAGTAGTAAGATTCTAAAGTCCTGATATTACTAGCTAAAAATTTAGTTTATAAAAATTTAGCTTGTCTGTTTGTATCCAATAAACGTCAAAACGATCTGAACCGATCAGGTCCAAATTTTGTGTGGGACCTCACGTGGCCCCAGGCAAGGTTTTTGACCAATCAGACTTGAAATGTGTAATATTTTTATCTTTAATTTTTATTTTGAAAATGCGCAAAAAATATTATGAAATCCGCAACTTTAAAAAACTTAATACAGTATAAAGAGAAGATGCTCACAGATAAAGCCACAATTAAAAGTTGATAAAGAGTATGTGCGCGAAGCGCCCTAAAAGCCTAGTATTTTAAATTTTGGTCTCTCCGTATAAGTAATTTGCGGATGTATGCTTAAGAGTCGATGAAGAAAATTAGTAGTTGGTCCTTTTCAAGATATAAAAACGTTGAAATCTTATTTTTTGTTGGTGTTCTCAGATTAAGGCACCGTTGTGAATCGAATATGCCACTCTTTAAATGGAGGATTACTTGAAATACCTTTAGGCAAAAATACAGGTTTTTGAGGTTAAAAAAAATGCACTGATGTTATGAATAGGTTGCCTTGAACGGACTGGAGAATATCCTGAGGCTAGGAGAACAGGAGTCCAAGGAGACTGGCGCTGCAAACCCCTACACAGTCATCATAGAAGAGGTGTTCGGTCTCGACAAGATTGAGTTCCTCCAGTCTCACGAGAATATAGAGATTTACCAGAAAGCCTTTGACATCATTGAGAGATATTTCGGAACTGAAGAGGAAGATAAAGAGGTCAGTTTACTTTCAGTTTCTTGTTTAGGTTACTCCAGCTATAAACCGGTTTCTTGTTTAGGTTGCTCCAGTTGTTGATATTAATATAAACCGGTTTCTTGTTTAGGTTACTCCAGCTGCTGATTTAATATAAACCGGTTTCTTGTTTAGGTTACTCCAGTTGTTGATATTAATATAAACCGGTTTCTTGTTCAGGTTATTCCAGCTGTTGATATTAATATAAACCGGTTTCTTGTTCAGGTTGCTCCTACTGTTGACAATAATACAAACCAGTTTTCCTTCCCTACCGCTGGTGACGGTCAGAACCAACAACAAGAAGTGCAGCAAGGGTTCCAGTTCTAACAGATATAGGTGGGAATACTACAAAAAAAAAACATGTTTATGTTTGCAATCAATCTTTGAGAATTATTTCGTCATATTGTTTTTCAGGCTTCAAAAAACAATCCTCAAGTCGTTCTTGTCGAGAACTGCAAAAATTGCATTTTTAGATTGAAAAAAAAGCATTACGCAATCCTATTTGTTTATACAAAGTTTACAATGATACCATTGTGAATGAGATATGTAACTCTTTAAATGGAGGTTCACTAAAAAAATGACTTCTTATTAACGAGGTTTTTTACTTTCAGGAAAAAGGCGAGAATATTACAAAATTTGCAAAGAAGACGTGACCGTTAATGAGTTGAGTATTTAAAACTGATTTTTGGTGACAAGGAATGTGACCATTCAGTTTTGGGTAGTGTTATTCTCCGGTTTAGATACTCGAGATGTTCAATCATGTCCCGTATCAAGCCTGTGTTTGTGTGTGATAAGAGATGAATATTCTGTTTCTAGATTCTAATCTTGAAACCACTGTGATGTGTAGTGTAAGCAGCTGCCTCCTAGAGTACCGCTGTGATGTGTGCGAGTCTGCTGTACATTACTGGCCGCTAGTTGACGTTAGACGGGGCGCGCCAAGGAATACAGCAAACGTTGTGATTCATTCAGAAATCTTTTTAAAGCGGACTTTAAAACCGTTGATATTAGTCCTTAACTATGCATACTAAGGATTTTACAATTTTTTACATCCCCCCGCAGGTCAAGTTCGCGTTTATATTCTTACTGCGACATCTCTGTGCTGTGAAGTGTGTTATTATTCATTATAGTCAAGGTTCTGGACTTGTGCTGAATTCAATAAATTTCAATAATATGTAATCTATTCATTTTAATTATTATAATAAACAGCGAGTGCAGTAGTTAACTCAACATTATGTAAATAAATTGTTAATTCTAATTTTTAATAAATATTTTTGATCTGAAATATTTGATTTGTTCTACACAACAAGGTGTACACTGTACATGACAGCATGATATCAGAAATTTATCAGAATTTGTAAAGCAACGATGACTTTTAGACTAAACAAATTGAAAGCAAATTACAGCTATTATAAGTTATCTTAATATGGAGCCAAAAGAAACTACTAAATCCTCATTTTGTTGATTTATTTTTGGAGTTTGTATAATGAACCAAGATTGAAATTTTAAAATATGTCGAGCTAATAGATCTTGGATTTTTGTGAAAACGTTATGACTGTACAAAATCCTTGAACTTTCTATAAACTGCCCAAACCCAACTATATGTCCAGTTCAAAATCTGATCAACGGTAAAAATTCGTACATTTTCTGAACCTGATAAATTGGAAGAATTAAAACAGAAATTTTCATTGTTCCAACTTCATTAAATAAAATCTTACAAGCTACATTATCTGAACAATAACTGACTGTTGATCGTTTACCAACTGTCAGAAGTTTAAAGATTCATTATGCTGCAGGAGGTCGAACTATTTTAATGCAGTTGAGGGGGAATTGCTGTAAAGGGTGTCCTAATAAACATAGGAAATACGCACCTACTTTTAATTCGCGTGAGATCAATAGCGCGTTTTTGTGGAAGAGTACGGGATATCGAAAAGTACTTCAATTTAGACACAAGGAAAAGTGAAATTTATATTAAATTGATACATCTTGTATCGAAAACGCTTGGTCGTGAGATTTTTGAAATGTATTTTCAAAATAGACGGCGATATCGCAAAGTTTCATTTTATTTTAAAAAATCAAAATTGTCTTAATATCTAATAACTTTGTCAAGTTTTAAGATACAATAAAGGCAGACCACTTTATAAAAAGCTCGTTAGACGTACAGCATCGTTTTTTTTAACTTTCTTTGCCATGCATTAATTATCAGAAATAAAAGACGACTTTCAAGTCGTCTCAATTCCCGTGTTGATTGGAACACCATGTACAAGAAGATATACTGGAGCAGTTATAGTTTAGTTGTAATGTACAAGAAGATATAGTCCTAGTTTAGTTGTATTGTACAAGAAGATAAAGTCCTAGTTTAGTTGTATTGTACAAGAAGATATAGTCCTAGCTTAGCGGCTCCAGTTTAGAAGTTTCCAAGAAGATATATTGAAGCAGTCCCAGTTTAGTTGTATTGTACAAGAAGATATAGTCCTAGTTTAGTTGTATTGTACAAGAAGATATATTGGAGCGGCTCCAGTTTAGAAGTTTCCAAGAAGATATATTGAAGCAGTCCCAGTTTAGAAATTTCCAAGAAGATATATTGAAGCAGTCCCAGTTTAGAAGTTTCCAAGAAGATATATTGAAGCAGTCCCAGTTTAGAAGTTTCTAAGAAGATATACTGGAGCAGTCCCAGTTTAGAAGTTTCCAAGAAGATATATTGGAGCAGTCCCAATTTAGAAGTTTCCAAAATTTATGAAGTTAATTTAGTTTTATTCCCTGACCTTCAGTCTCTACCCTGCAGAGGGCTGCATTAGCACAACTTTATGTTTTGAATAATAAAAAGGAAAACGTATCAGACTCGCAATGTGAATCTAAATACAGGGTTCACCACAAAGGATGAGACTTCAGAGACGACTGTACAGAATTTATACTGTCTGTTCCCTTACATTGACTGTTCTCTGCAATTGTAAACCTCTTTCTTTCTTTGCCTAGTCAATGTATAAAATTTAGTTTTCAAGGCAGAGGACTTAATTTAACCCTGGAATCGTCAGATTTAAGGAGTTTCAGGTCGTCTTTACAGTTTCATTCTTTCATTCTGCAGTTCAACATAAATCACAGTTAGCAACTGTGTGAAGTGTTTACACTACAATTTACAGTTTACAGACCCATTTCACTTTTCATTTGATTTTCAAGCTATTGGTTAAACTATTTGATTTTCAAGCTTTTGATTAAACTATTTGATTTTCAAGCTATTGGTTAAACTATTTGATTTTCAAGCTATTGGCTAAACTATTTGATTTTCAAGCTTTTCGTTAAACTATTTGATTTTCAAGCTTTTCGTTAAATTATTTGATTTTCAAGCTGTTGGTTAAACTATTTGATTTTCAAGCTATTGGTTAAACTATTTGATTTTCAAGCTATTGGTTAACCATTTGATTTTCAAGCTATTTATTAAACTATTTGATTTTCAAGCTTTTGGTTAAACTATTTGATTTTCAAGCTATTGGTTAAACTATTTGATTTTCAAGCTTTTGGTTAAACTATTTGATTTTCAAGCTATTGGTTAACCATTTAATTTTCAAACTATTCATTAAACTATTTGATTTTCAAGCTATTGGTTAAACAATTTGATTTTCAACCTATTGGTTAAACTATTTGATTTTCAAGCTATTGGTTAAACTATTTGATTTTCAAGCTTTTGGTTAAATTATTTAATTTTCAAGCTATTGGTTAAACTATTTGATTTTCAAGCTATTGGTTAAATTATTTGGACTATATTGGAACATTAATTACACTTAAGATTGGTTAAAATGAAATTTTGTCTTCGTAACACACAGTATTATGGGCCATTCGGTAGGTTTTTTTAAGGTTGAAAAATGTTGCAATGAATTAGGAGTTTGCACAACAACACACTATTTTTTACTTATTTGCAAAAATGACTTGTTTCTGAAGACCTTTCTATTCCTTGGTTTTTTTACGTTCTGCAGTTAAAATGGATCAAATATATTTAAAACTCTAAATTAGTACGACCTGGATTCGAACGATAAAAGGGATTCAATCCCACCTCATGACTGGACTAGGGATTCAACTCCGGCACAGGCGTGGATTAGGGATTCCCTCCCTTCGAAGGAGTGTATTAAGGATTCACATCCTGCAAAAGAGTGGATCAAGGATTCACATCCTCCAAAGGAGTGGATTAGGAATTCTGGTCCTGCTCCAGATCTAATTAGGGATTCAGCTTATGATCCAGACCTGATAAGGGATTCAGTTCATGCTCCTGATTGGATTAGGGATCGGATAAAGGCCGCCAAATCTCGAAACAGGATTGAAAATCTTACTTTCAATCCTGATCAATCCATTTCAAGGTTAGTGAGTTGTTAAATAAATAGCTTAAATAATTGTAAAATTAAACGTTTTTCTTTTTTTCATTCATGAATTCTAATGTTTTCAGGATTACAGCAAGGAGCAGTTTGAAGAATACTGTTCTGGGTTTAATTCGAATCTGGTAAATTCTTGACTGTAAATCTAATGAATAATTAGGACCAAGCACAGACAGTTTATTAAACAAAACTGAACAGTTTTCTATTAAAGGGACTGTCAACGTATTTTCAAGTGACCCAGATTTAAAGAGGGGTATGTCCGCAAACCTTTAAACCTTTATCTCAGAAACAATGAGTGAGATACTTTCCTATATTTACAGCATAATTTTTAATGAGAAACCAACATAGGAAAGGTCAAATTTCAGGCAGCTAAATAAGATTTTTTTTCATATTGTTCTTTGTTCTCTTATTAGGCTTGCCTGTTAAAAAGTTGTAAAATCAAGCAAAACTTGGACAAGCATTAAATTCTTATTGTTATTTCAATCTGCATTTTTATATTTCCTCCTTAGGGTTAAAGTGATTTTTGACGTTTTTTATATTTCCTCCTTCATAATTCATGAGTGGTATGTCCAATAGGCAACAGAAACCTTTATACCTTTGTCTGAGCAAATTGTTAAAAATGATTTATGCTGAAAAACGTAGCGTCCATACAAATTCAGAAAGTAGCAATATATAACTCATATCGTAAAATAATCAATTTGATTTCAAACAAATCATTCAGATATTACTACCTAAAGTCATTGATTATTTTTCGACGCATTCGTATTTAGTTAATATCTAATATAAGTCGTATTTTAACAATTTTTTCCTTACAGACACAACAGATAGAAGATTAGTAGCGATAAAAGAAGCGCCTATTTTTCGCCTTAAGCCTATACTCCCTTTCTTTTTTCGCGAACACTCACTTTAAAAGATGTTTAAGAACAACCTAAAACTATTAACAACAGCATAGGGTCCCTTAAAAGTACGTACAGGTCCCTTAAATAAGCTTCTTTTAAAGAGCACAAATATTTTTCAGATAATTATTTGCATGTTTTTTTCTAAAATTTGTTTTAAATTTGGTCTGAATGTGTTTAATATTCAATAGCTTGGACAACAATGGATTGTAAAGGCGAGATCGGAATATATTAGGGCCACGTAGTCCTTTGTACATAATATATACAAATATATATATATATGGGGAGGAGAAAAAAATACTTTTTTGATAAAAAATGTTGTTTGCAGCTGAGTTCTGAAAGATGCCAAAAATCTTAAACTGGATTTTCAAACATTATTATTTTTGAATTAATTTGAAAGATAAAAAACTGACACCATTGAAGATTATTCAAATTCTAGTTTGTTTTCTATTTTTTGCTCTCTACGCCGCGCTGGTCTAGTTCTCTTTCTGCCAGGAAAGAATTTGTTCTTTGGGTCACGTGATCGCAGGATGAGAAAACTCTGGATATTAGAAAGGAGTGTTATTTTTTTAGTTTTTTTAAGAATTTGATCTTACAATTATTTTTGTCCTTATTCCTGATAGGGCATTTTTTTCTTTTTCTTTTTATTCGTTCTCTCGTTTTTGTTTCTATTTTTGTTTTAGGTTTAGTTTTTTGTCAATTTTTTTCTCTCTTGTAGCTAAAAGAAAGAATAAATATTTTTTTCAAACTTAAAGTTTGCTTGTTTTTAGGTCGCTCATTTCTTTTTCCTGAGATTTGAACCATCGATTCAAAGTTAAAAGTTAAGAAATGATTTGATTCGGTGGTTTTTAAATTTGAACCGTCGGCGGTAGGCCTGACTCAAATTCTTCAAATTCGGTCTCTTTTTGGATGAAATTGTTTATTTTCTAGGTGGAAGTTTATATTTGTTTCTCTTCTTCCTTTTCTTCTTGTTCCAATCCTAGTATACTGGCCTCAACCTCCGGGAAGGTACATTTTTTTATTAAACCTTCATTTCATAATTCATTCATCCTTCCTTTCATACTTCATTAATTATTCCTTTCATACTTCATTCATTCTACCTTTCATACTTCATTCATTCTTCCTTCCATACTTCATTCATTAGTCCTTTCATACTTCATTAATTATTCCTTTCATACTTCATTCAGTATTCCTTTCATACTTCATTCAGTATTCCTTGCATACTTCATTCATTCTTCCTTTCATACTTCATTCAGTATTCCTTTCATACTTCATTCAGTATTTCTTTCATACTTCATTCATCCTTTCATACTTTATTCATTATTCCTTTCATACTTCATTCATTCTTCCTTTCATACTTCATTCATCCTTTCATACTTCATTCATTCATCCTTTCATATTTCATTCATCCTTTCATACTTTATTCATCCTTTCATACTTTATTCATCCTTTCATACTTCATTCATCCTTTCATTCTTCATTCATCCTTTCATACTTTATTCATCCTTTCATACTTCATTCATCCTTTCATACTTCATTCATCCTTTCATACTTTCGTACTTTATTCATCCTTTTTTTCCTATACTTCAATCCTTACTTTCATGCTAGACTTCACCGAGGAAGGGTTGCTCCCAGGGTTTTGGTGTGCTCCCAGGTTTTTGGAGTTGCTCCCAGGGTTTTGGTGTGCTCCCAGGTTTTTGGAGTTGCTCCCAGGGTTTTGGAGTAAAATGTAAATATTTCTCCGACCTTTTCTGAAAAATTCTTTAAAAAGGGCTCTGCTATCCCTTTTTTACTGTCTTTGTTCAGATATTTGCAGGAAAAAAATCGCAAATTTCAGTCCAAGTAGCCTGTGGCGATCATATAGTTTTGATTAGCTAAACTGTCAACATTTGTTTAAGCTTATACTTTGAAGATTGTTGGTAAATGTAAAAAAGAATCTTTTTTTTTAGCTAGATACATAAAGGTTTCATTTGATCTGGTCTAATACATCTCAACATCTTTATTAGTTATCCTTCTCCACATTTTTCAGGACATAAACCAATTTTTCCATGATCAGTGTTTACTTATTCACAAACTAAATATATTAAATGATTAAATACATTTTTACTATATTTTATTTGTATTTTTGTTTTACATTCACTGAGAAGATTATTTTGATTGATCTTATGTATTTAATGAATGTAATGTATCCTTCATTAATTATCCATTAATTATCTAGATAGAAATTTTGATTATTAATTGATAAATTATAATTTATCTAGATGTATGTATGTTCTTGTTTTAATGGGAATATGCTGGCTTCTAGAACTTCTTCCAATCCCAGCTACAGCTCTCATTCCCATTATTGCATTCCCACCTCTAGGTACTACTTTTTTCATTCCCAGCCTGATACTTCTAGAACTTCTGCCAATCCCAGCTACAGCTCTTATTCCCATGATTGCATTCCCACCTCTAGGTACTACTTTATTCATTCCCAACCTATACTTCTAGAACTTCTTCCAATCCCAGCTACAGCTCTTATTCCCATTATTGCATTCCCACCTCTAGGTACTACTTTATTCATTCCCAGTCTGTACTTCTAGAACTTCTTCCAATCCCAGCTACAACTCTTATTCCCATGATTCCATTCCCACCTCTAGGTACTACTTTATTCATTCCCAACCTATACTTCACATTAATTTCCGTTTCAAGCTACAGGGTGTCCCAGAAAACATTGGAATTTAGAGACGGTATGAAAATCGTCTTCGATTACCGATATTGAATAAATGAAAAAAAGTGTATCAAAATAAAGACTTTTGAAAATGTGGTTTGTCTTTTTAGGTCTTCAATATTGACGGAGATATTAATTATTTAAAATATTTCGCTGTTAAATAAATTAGAATCTGTACAGATTCCCTAATATCTCCGTCAATTTTGAGGATATAATTATGGTAAACCACATTTTTGAATTCCCAAGAGTCCTAGTTTTAATTATAAACTGTGGTTTAAATGGAATACTACAAATAGTGTGTTTACGTAATAATGCCACGCGGAACAAAGACGATATATAGAAATCGTCACTTAATTCCCATTTTGTGTGACACCCAGTTTATACATATCGTATCCATGAATCTCTTTATCATACTTACAACACTCAAAATAACGAAGTGAAATTTTCTGAGAAAAAATTTAAATTTCATTTTTTTTCAGAATTCACGTTTGTACCCTCCCTAATGACCAGCTTGACGGATATATTATTTTTTCCTGAGTTTCTGAAAAACATGTTTTTCTCTTCTCCCCCCCCCCCACCCGGCCTTGTTTTTATTACTTTCTCATATTCTCATTACAAAATATGAGTCTCGTTAAAAATAGAATTAACTTTTAGAATATATTTTTATATTATTGCAAAGAATCTGAATACTCGCTTCAAACTCTAATTTCCTAATTTCTTTTGATGATGTAAACCTTTGATTTTTAGCAGAATTTATAGTTTAAAAGATCTAAGGTTGTGCCCATAAGGTTGCAAAGATATAGGTATTATAAAATTATAGTTTGAGTCGAATAATCAATTCGTTTAGGAATTATGACAACGGCTCAGACAAGTATGTATTATATGAAATCTTCTTGTATGCTATTTATTGGTGGGCTAATGGTAGCCATTGCTATAGAAAACTCAAACCTCCACAGGTTAAACAAAACAAACTAAAAATTAATATACAAGAGTTTAAGTCTACAGTAATTTGAAGGTTTGAATATTAATAGTAGTTTTCAGTACATTTACACCCTGGGCAAAATAGATTTTAGTAAAATAGATGGCAACGTAGAATTTGTACACTCTCAGTTCAGCTGTATTCTGACGTCACAAGTGTCAGTTCAGTTTTTGTGTCCGACAAAATTATTAATAACAGTGATAATTTTAGAATAAAGTGCTTATCTTACAGTAAATAAGTGCCATTTTATGTGTTCTTTATTTACTGTTCTTACACTTTTTTACTTAATCTTGGAAGACATGTCAACTAATGTGAGAAAGTTTAGTTTTTCTTGATTTTTTTGACACTTGTGACGTCGTGTATAATTGGTTCATTTCTCAGTTGCCACCTATTGTACTTGATAATCTATTTGCCCTGGACTAACCAGGGAGAGAGTTCGGGTTCTTCAATTTGAATTGATTTACGTTTTGGTAATTTAGCAATCTTTAAATTTATGCAGTTGTATTTTTCATTTAAAACGCCAACAGAAAAGTACAATTTTTTTTATTTGGTCGAAAGTCACAGCTTGCTGAGACAAGGACAGAATTATTAAATCTGTTTGGGGAGTTTGCAGAAATTACATATTTTTTAGCTCCTTTATATATTACAGGGCTTGTAGCTCCCTTCTATATAACTAGGCTTTAAGGGCGCTTCGCGTCCATCTTCTATTTCAATTGTAAACATGTTTCAAAAATCAAATTTTGTTTGAGGCAAATTTTTGAAAATTCTATCTTCCATAGACCTTCCCTAGGATCACGCAAGGTCCCACAACAAATTTGGGCCCGATCGGTTCAGCCGTTTTGAAGTTTATTGGACATAAACAAATAATCAAACAGACAGACAAGCAAAGTATATATTATAGATAGATACATGTATTTCCTAGTTTGGATAACTTTTTTAATTTATTGTAAAAAGTTTGTTTTAAATGAATTTTCTTCTATCCAATTTCGACGTTTCTCGTTAAAAACTTAACTAGAAAAAATATTTATGAAAATATATAAACCTATTTAAGTCCAAAAACTTTCTTCAGTTTCCGATTTCAAAGTTTATATTTTAATCTAGGTCTTCACTTCTTTTCTTAAAATTTCCATTATGTTACATGAACTGTAATAAACTTTTATATTATTACACTCTTTTCAAACTTTTCATTTTCTTTCCGGTCCCTATGGACTAAAGAAGAAATGTGTTCAAGCTTAAATTAAAATTCTAAAAGAAAAAAAAATGTTTTTAGACGAGTGGGATTACGAGTTCTTCTAATGGTTGGGAGTTCCCCCCGTCTTGTTCTCCTAGGGTTCATGATCCCAACTGCTATCCTCTCCATGTGGATCAGTAACACCGCCAGCACGGCCATGATGATTCCCATCCTGGAGGCTGTTCTTGTAGAGCTCGGAGCTCATCATAGAAACATGATGATGCTTGCTATAGCCTTCGCTGCTAATGTTGGCGGCACCGGCACTCTGATCGGCACACCGCCAAACCTGGTATTTTTTGAATTTATCGGGAAACTGAAAGGTCAACCTATTACATTTGGAAGCTGGATGGTATTCTGTGCTCCTCTCATGTTTGTGAACCTTCTAATTGCCTGGCTCTGGTTACAACTTCTCTTTCTTCCTATTTGTCGCAAGAATAACAAAGTTAAAGATGAACTTGAAAATATTTCTGAAAAAGGAGAAACTGATATCAAAACTCTGTTAACATCAAGGTATAAGGATCTAGGATCTATGTCTCGCCATGAATACTCAGTTCTAGGATTGTTCCTACTACTAGTTGTGCTCTGGTTAACACGATCCCCTGGTTTTATGACAGGTTGGGCAGATCTTCTCCCTCCTGGAGTAACCGACGCTACTCCAGCAATACTTATCTCCCTAATCATGTTTGCAGTTCCAGCAGGGGCAGGAGGAGAGACTCTTCTCAATTGGAAGTTGGTTCAGGAGAAGCTGGCCTGGGGGGTTATTGTACTGCTAGGAGGTGGGTTTGCTCTGGCTGAGGGCGCAGAACGATCCTGTCTCAATATATGGGCAGGAGAACAGCTTGCTAAACTCGGTGGTCTGCCTCCTCAAGTTCTTAGGTAACAGTTTTCAATCAAAAAAGCTTTAAAATATATTCAATGAATCTCGCATGGTGGCTTGTCCGAATTAAATCTTTTTATGATAAAAAATGAATGAGATATCCTCGTATTCTAATTGGAAATCGATTATTTTCAATTGTGGTTTTTCTACAGCAGTGCCCTGAGGATTTATGCTGCAAAAGTACAATAATAACCAAAAAACAACGGAATAGAAAGACGACATTATTGCAATAATTAAGTGTATTTTATGTTTCGAAACAAACAGTTTACCATACACTTATTACATCACTAATTTAGTAACTGGGTCAGTTTACAGTGCACAATTCTATAACTGTACCGTCCTGTACCTGTACCGTCCTGTACCTGTACCGTCCTGTACCTGTACCGTCCTGTATCTATACCGTCCTGTATCTGTACGGTCCTGTACCTGTACCTCTACCATCCTGTACCTGTACCGTCCTGTACCTGTACCGTCCTGTACCTGTACCGTCCTGTACCTGTACCGTCCTGTACCTGTACCGTCCTGTACCTGTACCGTCCTGTACCTGTACCGTCCTGTACCTGTACCGTCCTGTACCTGTACCGTCCTGTACCTGTACCGTCCTGTACCTGTACCGTCCTGTACCTGTACCGTCCTGTACCTGTACCGTCCTGTACCTGTACCGTCCTGTACCTGTACCGTCCTGTACCTGTACCGTCCTGTACCTGTACCGTCCTGTACCTGTACCGTCCTGTACCTGTACCGTCCTGTACCTGTACCGTCCTGTACCTGTACCGTCCTGTACCTGTACCGTCCTGTATCTATACCGTCCTGTACCTGTACGGTCCTGTACCTGTACCTCTACCATCCTGTACCTGTACCGTCCTGTACCTGAACCGTCCTGAACCGTCCTGTACCTGTACCGTCCTGTACCTGTACCGTCCTGTACCTGTACCGTCCTGTACCTGTGCCGTCCTATACCTATACCGTCCTGCCTGTACCTGTACCCTCCTGTACCTGTACCATTCTGAACCTGTACCGTTCTGTGCCTGAACCGTCCTGTTCCGTCCTGTACCGCCCTGTACCTGTACCGTCCTGTACCTGTACCGTCCTGTACCTGTACCCTCCTGTACCTGTACCATCCTGTACCTGTACCGTCCCGTACCTGAACCGTCCTGTTCCGTCCTGTACCGTCTTGTACCTGTACAGTCCTGTACCTGTACCGTCCTGTACCTGTACCGTCCTGTACCAGTACCGTCCTGTATCTATACCATCCTGTACCTGTACCGTCCTGTACCTGTACCGTCCTGTATCTGTACCGTCCTGTATCTGTACCGTCCTGTATCTGTACCGTCCTGTATCTATATCATCCTGTACCTGTACCGTCCTGTACCTGTACCGTCCTGTACCTGTGCCGTCCTATACCTATACCGTCCTGCCTGTACCTGTACCCTCCTGTACCTGTACCGTCCTGTACCTGTACCGTTCTGTACCTGTACCGTCCTGTACCTGTACCGTCCTGTACCTGTACCGTCCTGTACCTGTACCGTCCTGTACCTGTACCGTCCTGTACATGTACCGTCCTGTACCTGTACCGTCCTGTACCGTCCTGTACCTGTACCGTCCTGTACTGCCCTGTTCATAACTTATTTGTTTTCTTTAGAATAATACTATCTCTGCTGGTTTCCCTAATAACTCAGGTAGCCAGTAATGCAGCTACTGCCAGCATGCTGCTCCCTGTCCTCCTTCAGCTGTCCCAGCAGCTTCATCTCAACCCTCTCTACTTGATGCTTCCGGCAACATTAACAACAAGCTTGGCATTCATGTTACCAGTTTCTACAGCTCCTAACGCAATTGTATTTGCAGCAAGTGGAATGAGAACAGTTGATATGTTAAAGGCAGGAGTAGGTAAGTCAATTTATGGGACTGTGCTAGTAATTTTAAGTGACCTTACATTTCAAGAGGAGCATGTTCGATTCCGATCAATAATCTTTCTTTTTAATGGTTCCATTTTTTTTAGAGAAACTACAATTAAAAAATCAATTTTCAAGGAGAAGATGATGGATATCTCAAATACATTTTTTAAGGGTACTGTTGTGAATTTGACATAACACTATATATTTGTAGGGTCACTTGAAATTACGTCTACAGTCCCTTTAAGAATGTTTAGAAAACGTTTTACAGTTTTTTTCTTCAGGTTTAACATTTATAACAGTTTTCGTGACAGTTGGATGGACAGCATCAGTTGGAATTCCGATCTTTTCATTAGATGATTTCCCAGACTGGGCGATCCCAAATAATCAATCACTAGCTTCAAACTTTAGAAAATGTTTATAAGATGTTGAAACCAAGAATTGTGAATAAGGGAAGATTTATTTTAGAAAATTAAGAATTTTACTGTTTTCTACAGACTCAAGACATTAAGAAATGGTTGGCTAGATTTTGGGTAATAATTTTGAGAATTGTTCTATCATAGGAGTATTCTCCAAAGTATGGACCTACAGTGTTATAAGAACTGTCCACGTATTTTGATGTGATTCTGCATTTCCGATTCACATCGGTATCGTTCAAATCTTTGTCTGAGCAAATATGGAGATATCCTTCTTTTTCTTGCGGATTTATGCTACATAGACAAGGGTTGAAATTGTCAGAATTAATCTTTTTTTCAGATAGAAAAAAGGCATGTAATTCTTTGAACAAACTGGTTATTTGAAATTACGTCGAAAGTTGTTGTTTTGTTAATTGTTTTTTGATAAAAAGAATATGTAATTTAGTTTGATTTTATTGTAATTATAATGTAAGTACAAACTGTCTTTAAACGAAGGAAAATGATAATTAATAAAATTATAGAAAATATCGAGTTTTAAGCATAAGAGAGAACCAGAGTTGCAAGAAGAAACTGATATACTGAGTCTACAAAGATCGGTGTCGCCAGAGACATCTGTTGTTTAACTTTAGGACTAGAGTACTCCAGGGCTAGGTTGTAGAGGTCAGCAAAAACTGGAAGTCCAGGTTCAGCCTGGAACAGAAGAATCACTTTCTTTTAAATTAGATTTAAGAAAGAAAGAAAAGAAAGAAAAAAATCGAATTTCGAATCTTGAAAGAAAAAAAATCGAATTTTGACAGAAAAAAAACATGTTTGAAATTTTTTTTAAATGATGTTTTTTTGTAAATAATTTTTTCCGCCTCTTTTAGGGGAGGATACCGATGGTTTTCCTTCAAAAAAAAAATAGCCAACATATAAATATACAAATATATATATACTAGAAATTCAGGGCGCTTCGCGCCCATCGTCTATTTAAACTTTTAATTGTGGCTTTATCTGTGAGCATCTTCTCTTTGTACAGTATAAAACAAAAACAAAAAAAGTTTGCGGATTTTATAATATTTTTTCGCGCATTTTCAAAATTTTACAAAAATAAAAAACATTTAAACACAAATTTTAAAATTTCAATCATTCATAAACCTTCCGCGGGGTCCTAAGATGTCCCACAAAAAATTTGGGCTCGATCGGTTCAGCCGTTTTGACGTTTATTGGATACAAACAAACAGACAGACAGACAAGCCAAATTTATATATAGATATAGAAGATATGTCTTAATTTTGTAATATTGTGTAATATCTTAGACTTTAAGCTAAAATATCTTTGATGTATATTTAATGTAAACTTTTTATTTGAATTTTTTTTGGCAAAATTTGATAAGATTAACCAAATATATAAATTTATTCCTAACCAAAAGCACTCAGAAAATTTTAATCCGATCTAATTTAAATCCAGCATCTTGGAAACATTTTCTGTCTGAAATATTAATAAAATAAGAAATCTCAACTTATTTTTTTAGAACAGTGTTTTTTGATATTTTAAACCAAACAAGGATTCGAGTTTTGATAAAGAAAATTCTGTCCATCCACGAAATATCTGGTACATATAAAGAAGTCGAGCTACACAATTAATAAAACATATTGAAGTATGCAGGTACAATATAGAATTAATGTATATCTACATTGTTGAAAGTTGAAATCAACCATTATAATAAATTTAATCTATTTTAGCTTGTTTCATCTTTAATAATTATTAATTATGAAAATTTGAAAAGCTTGAATATTGTTTTTAGTTTTGAACAGATTAAAACAATATTGTTGCACATTTTGTATGTTTTAATATGTCCTGAAATGATAATTCTTTTTAGACTAAATTAGACTAAAATTTTTTTTGTTTCTTTGTAAATTGAAGAAAAAAATATTTAGATTATTTTCTAATTTTTGTTTCTACTAGATAGTGTTGAACAAACGGCATCATATTTGGTTTTTAAATATTAAAGAATTATCTGTTTTCAATTTCATAATGCAAAATATTGACATTGACACAAGTTATTGGACCAAAGAAAGAAAACTAATCGTTCGTGTAAAAAAAACGGATGAAATGGGGACGCACAACAATAGTTCTTACCTTATCGCTAAATGTTTGGGAGGATTCGTTGCACTCTAGAACCGAGGTTAGATGAGGAGTAACGAGAAGGAGTTTCTGAATAGATTCAGGTTCTCCTAGAACCTTCTCCCTACAATAGTTAGAATAGATTCAGGTTCTCCTTAAACCTTCTCCCTACAATATTTAGAATAGATTCAGGTTCTCCTTGAACCTTCTCCCTACAATAGTTAGAATAGATTCAGGTTCTCCTTGAACCTTCTCCCTACAATAGTTAGAATAGATTCAGGTTCTCCTTGAAACATCTCCCTACAATATTTAGAATAGATTCAGGTTCGCCTTGAACCTTTTCCCTACAATATTTAGAATAGATTCAGGTTCTCCTTAAACCTTCTCCTTACAATATTTAGAATAGATTCAGGTTCTCCTTGAACCTTCTCCCTACAATATTTAGAATAGATTCAGGTTCTCCTGGAACCTTTTCCCTACAATATTTAGAATATATTCAGGTTCTCCTTGAACCTTTTCCCTACAATATTTAGAATAGATTCAGGTTCTCCTTGAATATTCTCCTTACAATATTTAGAATAGATTCAGGTTCTCCTTGAACCTTCTCCCTACAATATTTAGAATAGATTCAGGTTCTCCTTGAATATTCTCCTTACAATATTTAGAATAGATTCAGGTTCTCCTTGAACCTTTTCCCTACAATAGTTAGAATAGATTCAGGTTCTCCTTCAACCTTTTCCCTACAATATATAGAATAGATTCAGGTTCTCCTTCAACCTTTTTCCCTCCAATAGTTATAATAGATTCAGGTTCTTCTTGAATATTCTCCCTACAATAGTTAGCATAGATTCAGGTTCTCCTTGAATATTCTTCCTACAATATTTAGAATAGATACAGATTCTCCTTGAATATTCTCCCCACAATATTTAAAATAGATTCAGGGTCTCCTTGAACCTTCTCCCTACAATAGTTAGAATAGATTCAGGTTCTCCTTGAACCTTCTCCCTACAATAGTTAGAAAAGATTAAGGTTCTTCCTTATCTGGCATAAATCTGATCTTTTCTTACATCCATAAGTTCAATTTAGGTGGGCTGTGAGCGTGATTTTAAGATAGCAGGGACCAAATTGAATTTACAACGATACCCTTGAAACCTTAATCTGATCATTTGAAAGATATACCGTCGTTTTTCTGACTCGAATATTGTTTAATTCTGATCATTTCTCCACTGTTTCTTATAAGTAAGAATTGCCTTTTTTATGGAGGATCACTTGAAATTACGTTCAAGGGCTCTTTCTACAATTAAATGATAAAAATAGAAATTAAATCTGAAGATAAATTCCGATGTTTTCAATGTGAGAACTACTACGAGTCAGACATTTAATTATCTTTTATTTAAAGAAAGCTAAACAATGTTACCTGAACTGCATGATTAACTTCTCATACCCGGAGAGCAGATTCCAGCGGGACCAGGAGAAACTAAACAAATAAATTCATCAAACTTAAAATTCTTTTTTTAAGGGATCAAATAAATTCAGCGGATCGTCTAATATTTTTAATATTATGTACATCAGAAAAAAAGTGGATGATAAAGTAGAATTAATGTTGTTCATGTAAAATAGTTATCAAGAAAAGTACAGGGTTACCCTCAAAGGATGAGACTTACATGACGACTTGTAACCCTCAAAATATGACGATCCGAAAATTAGGTTGCTGTCTTAAAAATAGTTATAAACGAATAAACTGACCACATTAGCGAAGAAATCAACAAGATGACAGCTACATGTATCTGTGCATTTAAGAAATAAGATCTATCAAATTCTGTACAGTCGTCTCTGAAGTCTCATCCCTGTGGGTAACCCTGTATATAAGTCTAGATACTTTTTTGAGGTCAATCTCTGATCTTCAAATTTAATCTTTTTTATTAAAATAATTCAGAACTATGAAAACTTTTGTTTCTAAATAAATATTAAAAAAGGTTGAAATGAACCTGAGCGCGTTGGCTGTTAGTGCCATGCAGTAGTATAGATGTTTCTCAGTAGGAATATCCTTCAGGGGTAATCCCTCGATGTAACAATGAGAATCACAGTCAGGGAATATATCGACCCCTTGATGTCGCATCTCCTGGAAAATTTATTAAAGGAAGTTCAGCATTTGTCTGATAAAGATTGAACGAGAAAATTTTATGTTTCTAGCACGGTTTCCCTTTCCTTACTGTTCTAACCATTGCAACGCAGTTTTAGACATCACTTTACCTTCCCTTACTGTTCTAACCATTGCAACGCAGTTTCAGACATCAGTTTCCCTTTCCTTAGTGTTCTAACCATTGCAACGCAGTTTTAGACATCAGTTTCCCTTCCCTTAGTGTTCTAACCATTGCAACGCAGTTTTAGACATCAGTTTCCCTTCCCTTAGTGTTCTAACCATTTCAACGCAGTTTTAAACATCAGTTTCCCTTCCCTTATTGTTCTAACCATTTCAACGCAGTTTTAAACATCAGTTTCCCTTCCCTTATTGTTCTAACCATTTCAACGCAGTTTTAGACATCAGTTTCCCTTTCCTTAGTGTTCTAACTATTTCAACGCAGCTTCAGACATCAGTTTTCCTTCCCATAGTGTTCTAACCATTTCAACGCAGTTTTAGACATCATTTTCCCTTCCCTTAATGTCCTAACTATTTCAACGCAGTTTTAGACATCAGTTTCCCTTCCCTTAATGTTCTAACTATTTCAACGCAGTTTAAGACCTAACGTTAAGTAACTTGTGCGTTTTCTCCTTCATTAATACATTTTAGAACTAAATGTCCAATTATTTTTGTAAACTAAGTAATAATTGTTTTAACATTGCTTTTTATGTCTAACATTGGAGCAGTGGAGATAAACAGCTGATGCAGGAAACCTGTTTATCGACAAACAGCACGAATGGAGTGTAGGACAAAAAACTAATAATTTATGATATTCTAAAGGACAGATGGAATGCAGGACAAACTTTAATTGTTATTCTTACAAAAGCTAAAATAAAGTGAACGATAACTCGACCCTGAATCCCAGTTTAAGTTGCATCAATAACAAAAACATAAATATTTATAATTTCACCTTAATCAGATCTTTTAGTTTCATCGGAACATCAATTATTCCCTTGACCGGGGGTTTATTTCCGCTGGAGAATTTGACCAGGGTAACCAGACCAGGCTCTATAGCAAACTCAGCCTGAAAGGTTATTGTAATTTCAAGCGACCTTTTATTCGAACAGGGACATGTCCGATTCACAACAATCCCCTTTAAACTATTCTCTGATAAATAATGTGCAAGATATCGTCGTTTTTCTAGCTTGAAAAGTCTTAAATTTAATTTCCTTCGTTGTTTCTAAAGCATAAAAATTTCAGTTTCTGTAAAGAGAAACCACAATTGAAAATAATCAATTTTTAAAGTCAAGGGGATTTTGATCTAGCAAAGCTTTAAATGGTACTTATAATTGTTTACCTGTACTGAGATACAATCTCCTTGTTGTTGTTTACATTTACTGAGATACAACCTCCTTGTTATTGTTTACCTGTACTGCAACCATTGTTATTGTTTACCTGTACTAAGATCTGGGATACAACCTCCCTGTTATTTTTCACCTGTACTGCAACCTTTGTTATTGTTTACCTGTACTGAGATACAACCTCCTTGTTATTTTTCACCTGTTCTGCAACCATTGTTATTGTTTACCTGTACTGAGATACAACCTCCTTGTTATTGTTTACCTGTACTGCAGCCATTTTTATTGTTTACCTGTACTGAGATACAACCTCCTTGTTATTTTTCACCTGTACTACAACCATTGTTATTGTTTACTTGTACTGAGCCCGAAATTTAAAAGAGTATCGTTGAATGGTACTTATTATTGTTTACCTGTACTGAGATACAACCTCCTTGTTATTATTTTACCTGTACTGCAACCATTGTTATTGTTTACATGTACTGCAACCATAGTTATTGTTTACCTGCACTGCAACTAATGTTATTGTTTACCTGTACTGCAACTGCTTGTTATTGTTTACCTGTACTGCAGCAGCACTAAGAGCAATAACAGCTTTGTTTGGATTCTCTGGTCTAAACAAACAACTGAGAAACTCTTGACATTTTAAATGATTAAATTCTTCCTTGAGAAGAAAATTGTTTGAAAAAGGATGAGATGTATTGTATCCTGACATGAAAGAAATTCTAACAAATAAATCCAGCAATAAAGTTTCATTTTATATCAGAAAAATGATTAAGTGTAGATAACAACTTAAACTCCTATTTTACTCCATACTTGTACATCCCTAGCTCTATCTCTTACCTGAGCTCTATATCCTACCTGAGCTCTATCTTTTACCTGAGCTCTATTTCCTACCTAAGCTCTATTTCTTACCTGCGCTCTATATCCTACCTGAGCTCTATATCCTACCTCAGCTCTATCTCTTACCTGAGCTCTATATCCTACCTGAGCTCTATCTCTTAACTGAGATCTATATAATTCCTGAGCTCTATCTCTTATCTGAGCTCTATATCCTACCTGAGCTCTATATCCTACCTGAGCTCTATCTCTTACCTGAGCTCTATATCCTACCTGAGATCTATATCCTACCTGAGCTCTATATCCTACCTAACCTCTATATCCTACCTGAGATCTATATCCTACCTGAGCTCTATATCCTACCTGAGATCTATATCCTACCTGAGCTCTATATCCTACCTCAGCTCTATCTCTTACCTGAGCTCTATATCCTACCTGAGCTCTATATCCTACCTGAGCTCTATCTCTTACCTGAGCTCTATATCCTACCTGAGCTCTATATCCTACCTGAGCTCTATATCCTACCTGAGCTCTATCTCTTACCTGAGATCCATATCCTACCTGAGCTCTATCTCTTACCTGAGCTCTGTATTCTACCTCAGCTCTATATCCTACCTGAGCTCTATATCCTGCCTAAGCTCTATATCCTACCTAAGCTCTATATCCTACCTAAGCTCTATATCCTACCTAAGCTCCCAGCTCTGGAAGGGTAGGTTGGAGAACCTGAAGGCAGATAGACCGAAGATACCAAAGTGCATTGTTTTAAAGGATAAGGTTTGTTTTCCTTCGTTGAAACTTATTCCATAGAATCCTTGGTTTGTCCAGTAATTTTTCTCTTCGTCCCATCTCACTAGATAAGTTCAAGTTAATCTTCTAAATTATTTTTTAAAATCTTTGTTTAAAAAATAGATGAATAATTACCAATAGTTGGAGGTTCGAACCATAGGGCAGTCGAAGGAAGCTTTAAATGAACTTGAAGTAGCTTCTGGAGCTCAGCTTCTTGAGCCTTGGTAAATAATTTCATAGTTTTCATTTTAAAATCATTGGTTTCAAGGGATCGTTCAGACATTTTATCAATTTCAAAAAACATATCTCAATGTAAAGAAGACATAAACCCAAATTTGTTTCAGAAAACTGTTATTGGTGAAGTCAGAATGGTTCTGCTTTTTCAGTGTCTTTAATCCGTGATACAATTACCTAAAAAGTAATTGGTATCACCATCGTTTGACCCAAATATCTAAACATTAATCCCTTTAAAAATATCTTATATGAAAACCCACCTTAATTTCTCTTTCTATTTCCTCGGGAGTTTTCTTGACGTTTGAGTTTTCATCAGCAGGGGCTGGAGGTTTATAATCAGCTGCCCACGGCCGGGGTTTCAGCTCCTGCAGAACAAAATATTTCTACGTTTTCTGTAATTTGTGTTTTTTTTTCAATTTATAATATTTTCTTCACCTTTTTATTTTTGTACTTTATGGCTAATGAAAACATCACATATATACAGACTGCAATACTTTTTCGACTTTGATTTTACCTAACTAAATCAATTATACGTTTTTGCAACCCTAGTAATGTGCATTTTAGGATATATAAAGCATTTTTTAGCTTTAGGGTTTAAAAAAAGATATTGACAGAATTCTCATCGATTTTTACGGGAGAGCTTGCAACCTTCGGATCAATTATCTTAAATTTTTCCACTTAAATCACTAATTTCAGCGCCAATGTCCTGATGCTCAAAAGTCAAATAACGTTTTTTGTTTTATTCTTTTTTTAATCTGCTTCTGTCTCTAAATCATAACTATTCCAGTCATCAATAATGTTGGTTAAAGATGGTTTGGACTGATGCAAGGTGGTTCATGAAGGTTAAATACTCTGGGAGCGCTTCAATTTAAGGAAAACTTCGTCTTCATAGCAACAGACACTCAAAATCCTTATATGACGTAACTAAATATTGGCGGAATTTAAAGTGACAACGTTGCTTAGCGAGAGGGGGAAGGATTTTCTCCGCTTGTCAGCTGTAAAAAGCGGAGAAAATCCTTCCCACTCTCCCAAGCAACGTTGTAATTTCATCCTCTGCGAATTATCAGTTTACAGGGAGGTAATGGGGGCTAAAGGGGTTGACCCCCCCCCCCCCGTTTCTGTATATCCCTGTGGCGTGTACCTGTGGATGTTCTAGCTCACAAATAACCCAAGATGCAACTTTCTTAGGTTGAGGAGGAATATAGAGCATATCAAATACAATAATTCCGGCCATTATACGGTTTCGCCTGGAACATACAATAACTTCCTAAGATTAAGGAAGAATATAGAGCATATGAAATACAAAAATTCCGACCATTATACGGTTTCTCCTGGAACATACAATAACTTTCTAAGATTAAGGAGGAATATAGAGCATATCAAATACAATAATTCCGGCCATTACACGGGTTCTCATGGAACATACAATAACTTTCTAAGATTAAGGAGGAATATAGAGCATATCAAATACAATAATTCCGGCCATTACACGGTTTCTCATGGAACATACAATAACTTTATTTTAAAATCTTTCTTTTAAACTCTTGAATACTGCAAGGTACAGTTATTTTGATATAAAAAGGCAATTCTCATGAATAAGAAAGTGAAAAAGTCTAACGAAAATCTCTCACCTTAGATTGAGTTCATGAGTATCAATCTTGATTTTGTACATATCTATCCTTTGTTGAAGTTTTTCTTTAGCCTAATTTAAAGAATAAATAGAGATTTTTTATTTAACTTTTTAACTATTTTGTTTCGCAATACTATTTAAGCCCAACAACTTTACAGCATGTTGTACTTTAGTCGTCGTCGTATATCAATACATTGAAGACGACTTTCGATTTAAATTTTAATTGCTACCAAACTTTCAAACAGCATGGATACACATAAACGTGGAAACAAATAGAAGCTGTCAAGTAACAGCTTCTCTTTGTTTACTTGTAAACTTGTAATTTGAAAAAAGCTTGTTTGAAATGAAAACTTGAATAGAAAAGTCGTCTTCATTTTATTGATAAAACACCGACCATTGAATAATATACGGTCTTAACATTATAACGGATTAATTATTTCTCAGCACTGCTACAATGAAATTGAGCAGAAACTGAGCATGAACGATAAAGTGCATAAAGCTTAATAAAATTATATTTATTTTAACCTTTGTTGCTGGATCTTTCTCTTCCTCTTTAGTTTCATTCTCAATAATTTCCAGAACTTCTTGAACATCTGATTTCAAGGATTTGATACTTGATCTCCTGGTATCCCGGGGAGATTTTGTTCCTGGTTTACTGCTGCTTGGAGGAGGGGGTGGAGCTGAACCTTTCTTTCCTTTCCCTTTCTTATCCTGGGCTAGTAGGCGTAACCTTTCCTGCTCCGCCTCCCTAGAACAAAATGGTAATGCCTGATTTACAACGGTACCCTTAAAAGTTTAGTCTGATCAAGTATGAATTAGATATCATGTACGGATCTGTTTCTTTAAACTGTTTATTTTCATTTGCATTTTTCTGCGACAGTGAACTAAACTAAAATGTTACGCTTTTCCGTTTTATTACCTGGCAGCTCTGGATTCTAAATCAGCTTTTAGTTTAATCTTCTTCTTTTCCTCTTCCTCTTTCCTTGCTTTCTCCTGGAAGAGAACCAGGTGTGCTTGTATCCTATCCTGGAGCAGAACCCTGTCATCAGGATGTATTGGAGGAGTTGGATAGGACGGACATTGTTTACTGTAGTGATCATACTCAACCCGCATTACTCTAAAATTAGAGAACTAGAGAACTATATTGCTCAGGATTCTATCTTTTTTATATTTGAAAGAAAGCGTACCAATTTAACAAAAAATATTTAGGCAGACTTTCTGAGTACACAAATGTTATAAGAAAATTCTGCGAAATTTTAAAATTTAAAATTACAAAGAAAATTTATTAAAATCAAATAAAATGTAAACATGATTGAAATCAGGCTCAAATTAATGAGCTTTTAAAGCTTTTTAAGTATTTTGTTGTATTGGTTAAAAAGTAGAAAATAAAATTGTTTTTATTGAAATCGAATGTTAAGCATTTACATTGAGTAGGCACAAATAAACAAACCAAATAGAAAAGTTAAATATAAATTTTAGATTCGTAATCTATATATTTTAATTTCTATGTTTCTTTTGTTAACCTGACAGCTCCTCGAATACCCATGAGAGATCTGGGAAGCTCAAAACTAAACCCTAGGCTTTCAAACTCAGTTCCCTCAAATATTTGAAATATTGGAGAAATTATCGGAGAAAATCTTCAATGCTTTATAAACTTCTCATCTCAGCATAATTAAGAAAATTCAAATCTCTCACAAAATTGGAATTTTCGCATAATAATTCAAGAAACATCTAATAAGTAATAAAAACAAATTAGGCAAAAGTAAATTTTTTTTCTGATGTAGAGATAAAAAGTTATTTTGAATAATTTTGTTTCTTTATTGGATAAAGAAAATAATCAAATCTACAGATTATTCACATTGCTAATTAGTACAGACTCTGTAAAGTTGAGGATTCTGAAAATTATTACAATAGGTTAAAAGTATCAACAGGAAATGGAGACGTAATTTCAAGCGACCCATCATTTATAGCTGGGTATATCCGATTCATAATGGTACCCTTCAAACCTTTACCTGATCATGGATAATGTATCCTAGCTTTTGTAGCAATGATTTATTTTCAATTGTGGTTTCCTTGCTAAAACGATTCGCGGAATTATGCAGCCGAGATTGTGAAGAAAATGTTCAGAATTCTTTACTACAATATCTTGTAATTAAGATAAAGAAAGGATACTATTTAAAAAATGGAAGGTCCTTTGAAATTAATTTTCTTTCATTTTCACTAGCATGGATAAAAGAAAAAAACTGAGTCTTAGCCACAATCTCTTATTTTCTAATCCCTATATATTTGCAACCCAATGTTATGGACCTTGGATATTTAAGTTTAAAATATCAAACTATCAGATTGCAAAGATTTAGAAATTAGAAAATTTGGGGTTGGCAAAGAATCAACTTTACTATCCTTGTTCATGTTTTGAACCCAGTACCTTGACTCTCATGTTCTTTTCCACAACATTCCCCCAGAGCCCCAGCTGGACGAGGTTTGATGAGATGTAGTGCTGGAGCACGTTGTTCTCCGAGTCTACTATAGGAGATACGTCCAGGAGGATAGCATACGTGGCTCGGTTCAACTTTATACGGCGCAATATTAATAATATTTTTAAAAAAGATAAAAATTTCTTAAATAAAATATTTGAGTCTTTGTCACAAACTAAAATTTTTGAATTCTTTGCAACTGGATGGTGTAAACGTTTGATAAAACTAAGATTAATTTATCTAACATTTATAGTATGAAACATTGAGTTGCAAATATATAGGTAAAAGAAAATCAGAGTTTGTGGCAAAAACTTATTTAATTCATGAAAAATTTAAAGTTTAAACGACTGCATTCATTTTAAAAAACAGATAGAGGAACTTAACACTCGAATTTTTTAATCCCTATATCTTTGTTACCTAACGTTTGATATTTTAAACTATGAATTCTGATAAAAGTATAACTTTTGAAATATCAAAGGTTTACACAATCAGGTTACAAAATTAGAGTTTATGATAATGTTCAATTCCTTTCGTGATTGTCCTAAAACCAAGATTAAGATTATAATATTTTCCTTTGTAATCTGTAGTTTCTTCATGGTGTTAAATATTTTATGTCTCTCTTGAACCTTTGCTCTCTGGCTCCTGGTCACCTGTTCTACTGGTGTAGGTACCTCCCACTCCTAGACAAGGTACTAATGCAAGGAAAGTTAATTGCAGTTGTGTATACTCTGCGTACATATTGAAACCAGTTCTCTCTGGGCGGAATTTGTAAACAAGAATAGATGCATCAGTGTTCGTTTAGTATCGAAGGAGGTTAAAAGCATTAAATTTTGATAATTTTGATAATTCACATAATAGTTTCCTATGACCAGAATATTTCATTGATTTTTTATGTGGAAGATGGATCCCATGTCAGGCTTTGACATCCGCCTTGTGTTTACATTAGCGCCAAGAGACAGGTATACTGCAGTACAAAAGATGCGTACACCTCTGAAATAACTGTCCTTGCATTATAACCTTGCTCCTAGAGATCATTTTTTTTTATTCAAGGTTTTTCTTACTGTCAGCGTAATTTTAAGCTACCCTCTTCCTGCAAAGATGACAATACTCGATTCCCAGTGGTCCCTGGAAACCTTTGAAATTCGATCAAAAATGTGAAAGATATTGTCTTTTTTCTAGGATTATTTTTGCATGAAATTTCGCTTAAAGGCTCTACAACAAATGTATTGTCTTAAACTTTACTTTTGTACAAAACATTTAGGGCGGTAGTATAAACAGAACAAAAAACGAAAAATGATTGGTCAAAATGTTTTAGTCAACATCTTCTGGAGCTGATTTGGAGCAAATTTTTCGAACTACTTCTATATTAAAACAATAAATAGCAATTCAGATCTCTAATCTTTGGTTGGATATAGATATCAAAGCACGCAGAACCAACTATAGCTTGACATGTCCGGACTGCATGAAATATAACAATTTTAAAATTAAATTCTCTATTCATTTCACATCATTTTTGACTCGATCTTTAGAAAATAGGTCGCGGGACATAGAAAATTCAAATAAAAAGCTTCACGATTAAAAGGGGGACAATGTTTAGAAAGAGAATAGATTCCTGTGAACTATTTAACGGATACAATTATAAAATCAGATTAACCAATCTTACATTGATAAAAGCAGATTGTACTAATCAGAAATTGGTTAAGCCACCCTTTTTTCTAAAATTTTAACTACAATTTTGAGAAAAAAAGGTTTCTTTTTCTCATTTAACCCCCCCCCCCCCCCTGAAAAGAATTAGAGAAATTTGATCCACACACAAATTAGCTTTAGGGTTTGGATTGTAGTTTGATAGTTAACGACCTTGGTTTCAAACTTATGAAAATTAATAAAATTATGAAAATTTTGTTTTTAGTTTGACCTCTGGATTCTCAATAAGCCTCTCCATAGTGTTCATGAGAGGAAGAACCTCTTCAGTCTTCTTAATCACATCCTCCATATTCTCATGTCTATCCTCCTCCCAAAGACTAAATAAAATCTAAGTAATATTTTTGATTTAAATATTAAAACCGTTTAGTTCTACTGACAACTTCTACGTACACGCTGTCAGAAAAAATTATATTTTTGTCATCGACCTCTCTAAAGCCGTGGTAGACCTCTTTAAAGTTGTGATCAAGATCTTAAAGTTGTGACCAACCTCTCTAAAGTTGTGGTAGACCTCTTTAAAGTTGTGATCAAGATCTTAAAGTTGTGATCAACCTCTCTAAAGTTGTGATCGACCTCTCTATAGTTGCGATCAACCTCTTTGAAGTTGTGATCGACCTCTTTATATAGTATCAAAGACAATTCGATCTATCGAAAACTATGATAGAGTTGGGCTCAATGCAAACTAGATAGATGGAGAAGGTAAATCTATGCGACATCATTGTTACGACTTTGTAACCTCGTAGCTAGTTTAGTTTTCCTTTTACGCACTTAAGCATAAGAAAAATATAATTTATTCAGTTACATATTAGACATTCAAAACATTTTTGTTCTTCTCAATGCCTCTTCTATAAGAGGACACATCATCCAGACTGAACAAACACAAGTTTGAACATAGTTAGAAGACGACATTCTATAAGTTCATTGAAGCCAAAATGTCGTCTTCATATTTCTGATATTCTCTCAGTCTAGTGTTTGTTCTGTCTGGATGATGTGAGGAGTTATGATTGATAACATATAACATTTTATTCTCATGTTGGCGATTATTTTGTTAGTCAGCAATAACAATTTAACACATCAAACTAATTATGAAAGTGAATCCCTGGCTCCAATGGCCTACGCCTTTGTAAAATGATACTTTTAGGAATAGGTAAAAGGGTGTACTCAGGACGTAACGAATGAAACTAATAAAAAAATATATTTCACTTTGATACACATACAGAAAAAAATCGTCTAAATTGGAAACACAATTTAAGTGTAAAATCTTTTTTTTCCTTTTCGACAATATCGGCGTTTTTCAATTCTTTAAACAATAAAGTTCTATCCCTAACGTTAGCCGACTTCCCCTGAAACATTGTTTGAGATTGTTCTGGTTCGTTAATTTGATTAGCGAAAACGACCCCCAATACTGAGGTTTACCTGAGATAAGTATTCATCTGCTTGACACAGGCTGGATCAGGCATACCATCACATTTCATATATTCTCCCCATAGAAACTCATCTCTTTATATATAATATATATTTTATATATTCTCCCCATTAGAAACCCATCTCTTTATATATAATATATATTTTATATATTCTCCCCACATTACCGACGGCGACCTATGATTCCCCTAAGAGAGAAAAATTATGTAAAATAACGACCCGTTCTGCCAAATTTTCGGGGAAAAAATCACTCATTTTCCTCACAAAAGACGACAAATTTTCGGGAAAATAAAAATTTTACTTAACCACAGGTACCCTCGACCAATTTTGCCTACAAAACATCCCTCGCTGCTTTTTGGGAACCATTGGTAGAGTAAAATAAAATTTCCTGTAAAGTAGTTGAAAATAGTTAACATATATTTTATATATTCGTCTCTTTATATTATACTAACTTGAGAACCCAGCGTTGTCTGGAGGTTTTCCCTCTATAAAAGTTGACCTTCTCAACTTAGAATTTTTAATCCAGACTAAAAAGAACATTCTCGTTGTTGTTCCGAGCTCCCCAATCAAAATTTGACACAAATCGGTCAAGGGGTTCATGCGTTATGATCGGACAAACTACTTTATATCTAAACAGATAAATATATTTTAAATATTTTAGAAAAATAATGAAAGGGAAAAGGAATGCAGTTAACTAAACATACGAAAAATAATGGATGATTTAAATTCAGCTGAAGTGTCAGAGAATGTCTCCAAATTGTCAGGAGGGACCCGGAGAGAAGATGAATAGGTCCCAGTCCACCAGGAACTCAGAAGTTTATACATAAGGAACCCCTTTCCTTCATTAATAGGAATCTTATCCCTATTTAACTAACTTACCCCACAAACCAACTTACGTAAATGAAATGTAAAATTTACGTTTTTTTGTCTTTTAACGACCATACTTTGTTTTGGCACTGTAACCATAACGAAAACTTGAAAGATACAAATTAGTAAACTTTGGCTGGGAAAGTCAAGGGTAAGAAGAAGAGTAATTTGTCTAGTTTCTAGCTAAAGTTTTTGCAGAATATCTTGTTAGAGTTTTACAAGATAAACAATTAAACTAGAAAACCAGTGAAAATTGAAAAATTCCAATTTTGTAGACAGAGAGAGAGAGAGAATTTACTGGCCCATGAAGAGGAGAGTAAAGCTATGTCCCATCCATACCTGTGACTTAAAGGAATTGAGCCTTCGTAACAAATTCTGATTTTCTAATACCCATATTTTTTCCACCTGAAGGTGTAAACCTTTCATATTTCAAACTTAGATTCCTTTCATCTAACAGAATTCATAGCTTGAAATAACTAAGGTCTAAGGCATTGGGTTGCGAAAATATAGATATTAGAAAATCATAATTTGTGACAAAGACTCAATTCCTTTATATCTTTCTACTCTGGAATGAAGACAGATATAAAAATGTCATACTTTGAAACCTATCTGTACTGCAGAAATTAAATTCTAATTAAGATATTAGATAAGTTTGTGAATGGTTGGACTGTAATAATATGAGTATAAGAAGTTTGAATATACAAATAGAAATGTCCAACTTTCCCCAGAGATATGAATAGTTTAGACCTACTGGATAGACAGGTTCTATCTTCTAGATACATTATATATATATATATATATATTTAGATTCCTGGTTCGATCTATCATCTGCTGAACCAGAACATTGTGGGATCTAGAATATTCATAGTAATTAGGTAATATTTAGGTGATATCCAGGTGGTTCAGGTGAAATTCAGATGGTTCAAGTAGAATTTAGGTGATATTTAGGCATTTCAGGTGATATTCAGGTAATTCAGATAGAATTTAGGTGATATAGGTGTTTTATGTGATATTTAGGTGTTTCAAGTGTTCCAGGTAATGAATAAATGAATATTATTTTACTAACTTGTATATGTTCCTAGTAATATTCAAGTGTTCCAAACCAATAAGAAGTGCTTCATATTTAGCGCGAGATTTTCCCTCTTCTCTTAATATAATTAGGAATATTTAGATAATATAATTAGAAATAGCAAGATAATATATTTAGGAATACCGAGATAATATAATTAGGAATAACTAGATAATATAGTTAGAAATAACTAGCTAATATAATTAGGAATATTTAGATAATATAATTAGAAATAACAAGATAATATATTTAGGAATACCGAGATAATATAATTAGGAATAACTAGATAATATAATTAGGAATACCAAAATAATATAATTAGGAATACCGAGATAATATAATTAGGAATACCGAGATAATATAATTAGGAATAGCGACAAATATAATAAGGAATAACTGGATAATATAATTAGGAATACCGAGATTATATAATTAGGAATACCGAGATAATATAATTAGGAATACTGAGATAATATAATTATGAATACTGAGATAATTTTATTAGGAATAACTAGATAATATAATTAGGAATAGTTCATGAGATAATATAATTTGGAATAACTAGATAATATAATTAGGAATAGCAAGATAATATAATTAGGAATACCGAGATAATATAATTAGGAATAACTAGATAATATAATTAGGAATAGCAAGATAATATAATTAGGAATAGCGAGATAGTATGATTAGGAATAACTAGATAATATAATTAGGAATAGCGAGATAATATAATTAGGAATAACTAGAAAATGTAATTAGGAATACCGAGATAACATAATTAGGAATACCGAGATAATATAATTAGGAATAGCGACAAATACAATTAGGAATAATTGGATAATATAATTAGGAATACTGAGATAATATGATAAGGAATACCAAGATAATATAATTAGGAATATCGAGATAATATGATTAGGAATAACTAGATAATATAATTAGGAATACCAAGATAATGTAATTAGGAATAACTAGATAATATAATTAGGAATAGCGAGATAGTATGATTAGGAATAACTAGATAATATAATTAAAAAAAACTAGATAAGATAATTAGGAATAGCGAGATAATATCATTTGGAATAACTAGATAATTTAATTAGGAATAGCGAGATTATATGATTAGGAATAACTAGATAATATAATTAGAAATAACTAGATAAGATAATTAGGAATAGCGAGATAATATCATTTGGAATAACTAGATAATGTTATTAGGAATAGCGAGATAATATAATTTGGAATAACTAGATAATATAATTTGGAATACCAAGATAATATAATTTGGAATAACTAGATAATATAATTGGGAATAATTAGATAATATAATTTGGAATAATAAGAATTTGATTCGTAAAAAGATTAAAAAACAACATCCATTTCAAGAGGGATTTAAATTATAAAAAATGGGGGGGGGTGGTTTGTCGTTTGTATTGATTTGTGCTCAGGAAGAAATCTAAACCTAAAGTAAAAATCGTTTTATTGCGTTTAATTTAACAAATTGTGCAAAAATTTGGAAAATGAGTTCAGATGAAATCTGCAAAATAGTCTCTGAAGTCTCAAACTTTCTGAGAAACAGAAAAAAGTAAAAATTGTTTTTTTTTTGCTAATTTTTAAAAAATTTATTACTCATTTATTTTACCTCTCCTTCTCCTCCTCTTCCCCCTCTGATTCACGAGGTTGAATAATCTTTTCTATTTCCTCTTCCTTCTTCTTTGGATCTACTTCATCCTTCTTTAATCCTTTCTTCTTTACACCCATTCTACTAGATTAGGTATTCTACTTAATCTATAATATAGATAGATAATAGATAATAGTATAGATAGATAATAGATAATAATATAGGTAGATAATAGATAATAATGAGATAATAAATAATGATATAGATAAATAATAGATTATAATATAGGTAGATAGTAGATAATAATATAGATAGATATAAGATAATAATATAGGTAGATAGTAGATAATAATATAGATAGATATTAGATAATAATATAGGTAGATAGTAGATAATAATATAGATAGATATTAGATAATGGTATATACAGTGTACAGTTAACTAAAGTGTACAGTTTATTACAATGTACAGTTTACAACAGTGTACAGCTTAGTACAGTGTACAGTGTATTAAAGTGTACAGTTTACTACAGTGCACAGTTTACTACAGTGTACAGTTTACTACAATGTACAGTTTACAACAGTGTACAGTTTACAATAGTGCACAGTTTACTCAGTGCACAGTTTACTACAGTGTACAGTTTACTACAATGTACAGTTTACAACAGTGTACAGTTTACAATAGTGCACAGTTTACTACAGTGCACAGTTTACTACAGTGTACAGTTTAAAAAGTGTGCAGTTTAAAAAAGTGTACAGGTTTACAACAGTGTACAGTTTACAACAGTGCACAGTTTACTACAATGTACAGTTTACAACAGTGTACAGTTTACTACAGTGTACAGTTTACTAAAGTGTACGTTTATACCCTACACTGCTGGAAGACTATTTATTTACTAGAAAATGATTTGTTTATCTAGTACACAGTACACACTTAGAATTATTGATTAAACAAAACTATTCTCGTTGGATCAATATATTTGAACAATTAATAACAGACAAATTATCTTATTCACAAACTGAAATATTAAATCTGATTCTTTCTGTAAAATAAATATCTCGTTATATTTTCTAATGTTTGTATTTATTATAAAATTTATTTTTCCTTTAAAGGGACTGTTTATGAAATTTCAAAGTGAGCCTTAGTTTAAAGAATTATTATGGATTTACAACGGTTCCCTTAGCACCCGGAGGAAGATTTCGTCGTGTTTGCTTTCTCAAAAAGATATAAATTCTCTGTAAATTCTCTTTAAATAGAGGGTCACTAAATATTACAAAACAGTCCCTTTAAGTCATTATAATTTGCACTTCCGTATTTTCATAACATTCCAATTTTTTATAAACAATTTTTGTTTGTCTGAACATTTCTTACGGTTTTCAAATCATGCATTTCAAAATCGCTTCAGTTTTAATGCTTTCGAACCTTTAATTTGATATGAACTATCATATTTTAAACAAGTCTTTACTAGTTTTTATTTCCAGTTTATTTCCGCCGAGCGCTGCAAACTAGACAGAGGGAGAAGGTAAAATTTACGTCACATTCCTGGTAGAACTTTGTGACCTCGTAGCACCTTTTGTTACGACATTGTGCCAACGTAGTTCCTTAAGTTTTGATTTAACTCACATATATGAGAAAAGAAAATTTATCCTGATACGTATTTGAAATATTTTAGTCGTTCTTAATAACGTTGCAATAAGAGGAGTCGTGATTGAAAACAAAACAAAGATTTTAAAGATGAGCGGGGGGTTTAAAATGGTTCAGGCATGGACAAAATATTTCAATGCTGAAGACCTCCCTGGGGTATTTGATTAAACTCCTTCTTTATCCCAACAAGTTTTCCAAAGTTTGGCAACTGGGTTTAAGAGATTTAGCAATTGTTTAGTTGTATAGTTGTATAGTTGTATAGTTGTATAGTCGTATAGTTGTATAGTTGTATAGTTGTATAGTTGTATAGTTGTNAAAGAGGAGAAAGAGGAGAAAGAGGAGAAAGAGGAGAAAGCGGAGAAAGAGGAGAAAAAGGAGAAAGAGGAGAAAGAGGAGAAAGAGGAGAAAGAGGAAAAAGGAGGAAAGAGGAGTAAGAGGAGTAAGAGAAGAAAAATGAGAAAGAGGAGAAAGAGGAGAAAGAGGAGTAAGAGGAGAAAGAGGAGAAAGCGGAGAAAGAGGAGAAAGAGGAGAAAGAGGAATAAGAGGAGAAAGAGGAATAAGAGGAGAAAGAGGAGAAAGAGGAGAAAGCGGAGAAAGAGGAGAAAGAGGAGAAAGAGGAGAAAGAGGAGAAAGAGGAGAAAGCGGAGAAAGAGGAGAAAGAGGAGAAAGAGGAGTAAGAGAAGAAAGAGGAGAAAGAGGAGAAAGAGTAGAAAGAAGAGTAAGAGGAGAAAGAGGAGAAATAGGAGAAAGAGGAGAAAGAGGAGAAAGAGGAGAAAGAGGAGAAAGAGGAAAAAGGAGGAAAGAGGAGTAAGAGGAGTAAGAGGAGAAAAAGGAGTAAGAGGAGAAAGAGTTTCATTTACACCTATAGGTTCTATACTGTTTCCATATTTGTTTCAGTTTTAGGATAAAAAAAAAACTGCTCCCGGATGATATGCTAGACTGGAAATATCCAAAATATAAATGACAGATCTGTAATTAGAAAAATAAATATATAAATTAGATATTCAAATAAATATCAAATATATCTAGGGATTCAAGAAATAAACAAACTAACCATTTTGTAAATCCATAATATCGAATCAAATAGAAACTATATTTAGTCACAAATAATCTCAAAAAAAATGAAGTGAAAAAATGTAAACATAACTTTAAATGGGTTCTAAATGTTTTAAACCCTTTACATGAGAACATGTAGAATGATATTGTTCCTTTTTTATCTCGATAATTGCTAATTTCTATAAGTCCCCTATTTCTATTCTTTTTAAATCAAATTTTGTTGGAGGCGAATTAAAAATTTTTTATTATCCATAAACCTCCCCCGGGGTCACGTGATGTCCCACACAAAATTTGGGCTTGATCGGTTCAACCGTTTTGACGTTAATTGGATACAAAGAAACAGACACCCAGACAAACAGACAGAAAAAAAAACAGACAAGTAAAGTATATATTTATAGATGCGACATTACCGTTCCGACTTTGTGAGCAAGTAACTCCTCTAGTTTTAATTTTCTACTCTAGTCTAGTATGAGAAAAGAAAACTTATCCGGATACATATACTCTGGTTAGGCGGGTCCAAACTACATATACTCTGGTTAGGCGGGTCCAAACTACATATACTCTGGTTAGGCGGGTCCAAACTACATATACTCTGGTTTGACGGGTCCAAACTACATATACTCTGCAGGTTAGGCGGGTCCAAATTACATATACCCTGTAGGTTAGGCGGGTCCAAACTACATAGTAAATTGTGATTTATAATTTGAATTATCTGGTGCTTTGTAGTTGAATAAAAATATAAAATATGAAAGTTTAACATTTTTGTTCTTCTCAATAGCTTTTCAATGTGCTGAGTAATTATTAAAAACATTTCAATGTTACGCGCAATTTACTTTGTTAGGACCACTACAGTTTCAGTAGAAGTAAATATTTCCATTTACTGATAGCGCCGATTGAAGGATTTATAACTCTGATTGGATAATGAGATAGATAGAAAGATAGATGTTAACGCCATACTATTTCTATTGGTTCAGAATAGACAACAAACACATGACTGAACCACAGCAATTGTTTAGTG